CATCATCATCATCATCATTACCAGCAGCTACGTCATTGCAATCGTCATCGACCTCATCGTTAGCTCATGATCACAATAGCATATCACGGGCGTATCGTGAGATCATCATCTCATGGCACATCATATTTTCATATTTGATGTCATGTCATATTTTCTTTCACGGCATGAGAGTTACATGTGTTTCAGGTTGTGTTGTATTTGTATACTTGGCTTGAAATAGACCCAGCTGACTCGATGTGTTATTGTAGCTGATTGGATTTTTTCCGTCGTTTGCATCGGCATGACGGTGACGGCTTTAGCATGATCAGCATCAGATTTGTTGTTACAGCTGCTTGAATTTTTTCCTTTGTTGGCATCATCATGACGGTGACAGCTTTTAACATGATCAGCATCATTGACCTTTGTGTCGTATGGCTCGAAGGCAAGTGGACTCGCTTATTCTCGATCGACGGTCGGCAGAATCCGATCCGTGTGGTCGGTAGGGTTCATGAACCAAACGTATCTTTATACATAGATCAGTGGCGTTGGCGCGAGACCGCGAGTTGTGCGAATCTCGCCAGCACAGCCAATTCAACCGTGCGATCAATGGAGCTCATGAAACAAACGTATCTTACGTAGGTACCATCGACTTTATACATAGATCAGTTGCGTTGGCGCGAGACCGGAAGTTGTTCGAATCCCGCCAGCGCAACCAATTCAACCGTATGAAATCATGTTGGACCTTCGAAATCTTGTGTAGCTTTTTATAGCCATGGCTTCGTCTTCTTCCTCCAGTGGTCGCCTTCCGCTGCAGCGGGCTTTGCAAAATCTGCGGATGGAATGCGAGACTGGAGGTCAGCAGAGGTTACAGTCACAGCTCAATGGAAAGAGCATTGAAGAGCTGCGCAAGCTGTGCATAGCAGCTGGTGTGTCAATTCGACTTGGAGATTCTGACGTGAAACTGTCTAAGAGTGACTTAGTGCTTGAGCTGGTGAGGGTGTTGTCGACACCTGCAGAAGCTTGGTGGCAGATGTTGTGATTTGCCTACGTCGTCAAGCTACAAATTTTTTTTCCTGTGGATACACGGGAATACGTGCACGTGTATATGTAAAGAGTGGATCGTTAATCACATTGATGGGATCACGGCCAGCGCCGTGCTCAGGATTCATCACAACCTTCAGCGGGTGACATTGAGCAGCTCGTCCAAGTTCTCCAGACAGAAGCTGCTGTCAAGGGACGGGAATGGTTGCAGTCGCAACTCGAGGGAAAGGACAGAGACGAATTGCGCAAGCTTTGTACGCAATTGGGTCTTTCCCACCGACGTGCGAACTCTACAAGTATGTTGACGAAGGCAGAGTTGGTGGAGCAATTGTGGCCGGCATTGTCTCCATCTTTGGACCCGTGGCTGCCAGTTTGATGACATGACATAATGTGATGATTCGTATGTGACAAGTATTCTATAGAAATATTTGTTTTTATTGATATGCACTTTTGTCTGTGCACGCGACACGTAAATTTTGTCAGTACACATGAGATATAAATGTTGGATGGGCATATTTTTTGTGAGAACGTTGTACGTTTCAGGTTCTTCGACAGTATGACATAACAGGAGGTTCGGGAATGCATGTGTTCATCCGGTTCTGCAACGTTTGGACTGGCTTTGCTCATTTTAGATGGAGCCCCATACTCAGGAATCGTCGCAACCTGCAGTGAGTGACATTGAGCAGCTCATCCAAGTTCTGCAGACGGAATCTGCTGTCAAGGGACGGGAATGGCTGCAGTCACAGCTCGAGGGAAAGAGCACCAGCGAACTTCGTCAGCTTTGTACATCGTTGGGTCTTTCCCGTCGACGTGCGAATTCTACAAGCATGTTGACGAAGGCAGAGCTGGTGGATCAGTTGTTACCAGCAATGTCTCCATCCTTGGACCCCTGGCTGTCAGTTTTAGAGACAACATGACAGGACACGATGTGATGATTCGTATGTAACAAGTATTCTTTATGCGTTGTCGTTTCAATTTGTTTGTCCGAGGCCTATAGTAGTGTATCTTTTCACTGCTATACACTTTTGTTTGTACACATTCATCAATAGTATGACATGATATGAGGTTAGGGAGTGCATGTGCTCATCCGGTTCTGTAACTTTTCGAATCGCTTTGCTCATTTTAGAGTGGACCCCATACTCAGGAACCATCGCAGCCTGCAGTGAGTGACATTGAGCAGCTCCTCCAAGTTCTGCAGGCCGAAGCTGCTGTCAAGGGACAGGAGTGGTTGCAGTCACAGCTGCAGGGAAAGGACATTAACGAACTTCGGAAGCTCAGTACGCACTTTGGTCTGTCTCATCGAGCTGCTGACTCTCTGCGTAAATTGAGCAAGGCAGAGCTGGTGCATCAGTTGCTACAAGCAATATCTCCATCTTTGGACCCCTGGCTGCCAGTTTGTGAAACAACATGACAGGATGTGATTGTTTGTACGTGACATGTGTTCCCTATGTCTTGACAACAGCTTTAGGAAAGAAGCGTTTGTTTGTCTTTTCGTTCTGATTGGTATGTTGGAATTTTGCTTTTGTTGTTGTTAGTTTTCAGGACGGTGGTGAGTGTGATGTTCTGACATGTCAGCGATAAGGTAACCGCTGAGCAACTGAAACTGGAGGCGGTACAGCAAGGCCCCAATGCACGGGCGTGGCTTCGTCGCAAATTGAACACTTTCTCGGCCAAGGTAGCCAAGGATTCAGTGGACGGCCGAAGCCCGCTGGCGGCGCTGGGTGCTGAAGTCGGTGTGGAAGACTGTCTGTCTAAGAAGGCGCTGATCGAGCGCATGATCGCCGTCTTGCTGCCAGAAGAATCATTGGACAGCAGCGCCGCGGTGCAGCGGCATGCTTGGCGATTGCTTCGGTCCTGTCTTGGAAGACAAGCAGCAGGCGAGCAAATCGATGCCGATTTCTTGAGCACAGAGGTAGTCGACGCAGATCTTCGGCTGAAACTTCTTGCATGGTGTTTGTGCATTCCGATGGACACTCTGGTGGGACGTCACTATAGCTCTCAGCAGACATTGCTGGAATTGATTCGTAGTCTTGGTTGCATTATGACACACTTCAATTCCGTTTCGGACGTTTGGGCCACACTGGATGTTGACTTGCAAAAACTTGATGCTGATGCTGCATTGCAGCGCTTTCCCAACCTTGAACGCGAGCACGTCATCGCTTTGCTGGCTTGCGTGTTGCACGAGAACCCAGTGAAAGCTCAAGGACGGCGGTAGTTTGATCAAACAGCTGAAGGTTCAGTCTGTTGAAGGTTGTTTTTGCTTAGCACGAGAACATGGAGTTGTTATTTGTTGTTTCCTTGACTGGTTTGTTTTGTCTAACGTTTGCTTTCATCAATGTTTTTGGTTGGGTTGCAGGATGGAAACAGTTGTTGGATTTTGCGGATTCCGTCGATATGTTTGATGTTGCTGAACGTCTTTGGGATCTGCAGACAGTGCGGATGGAACGGCAGTGGAATGAACCAACAGGCTTCGAAGATCAAGAGGACGTTTTAGAGGCGAGGGTGCATGACAGCATGACTCTTTATAGGTAGGGTACCTGTTTATTTTCTTCATTTTTCGTCGGAGTGTTTTGGTACAATGCTTTCAACCGAATGTTTTGTCTCGTGTAGTACGATCCGTTTGCGAGGCCGTTCTACAAATTCTGCATGGCCGTAGGGCCACAGTGGAGACGGATGGCAAGTCTCGGAAGCGCAAGGGTGCTTTGGATGATGCCGACAAGGCCTTTCTACGTGGTCTCATGCGAAGGTATGGCTTGGAACTGATAGATCATCCGGAAAAGCCGTGTCTGTGGCAGGAAGTGTTCACCAAAGCAGATTTTCTGCAGACACTGTGGTTCGTCAT